TATCACCCAGCGTTAACTACTCTGTAATTTTTCCAGTGTTTTCTTGTAGCATTTTTCCCACACATTTTTACTATATTTGTTTTTATTCCACACACTTTATTTTGAAATGATTTACAGCCTAGGAAAAATTGTAAGAAGAGTACAAAGTTCTCTCCTACTACACTCTGAGCATTCTTGCTTTCTGTCTTTCTCTCTAAATATATATGCCTAACCATAGTGCATATTCAGATTTGTCTAGTTGTCACACGAATGTTCTTTCTAGTAATTTTGTTTTCCAGGATCATGGATCATACATTGCCTTAACTTGTCATGTTTCTTGGGTTTCCTTAATCTGGAGTTCCTTGGTCTTTCTCCTTCATGGCATTACATTTATAAAGAGTGTAGTCAACTGTTCTGTGTATGTAAATTTCTAATAAATTGAAATAGATTTTATATTATTTTTCCCACTGTGTGTGTGTGTGTGTGTGTGTGTGTGTGTGTGTGTGTGTGTGTGTATTTTTTTTTTTTAAGACAGAGTCTTGCTCTGTCTTCAGGCTGGAGTTCAGTGGTGCAGTCTCAGCTCACTACAACCTCTGCCTGGGTTCAAGCAATTCTCCTGCCTCAGCCTCCCGAGTAGCCAGGACTACAGGTGCACGCCACCCCCCACCCACCCCGGCTAATTTTTGTAGTTTTAGTAGAGATGAGGTTTCACTATGTTGGCTAGGGTGGTCTCGATTTCCTGACCTTGTGATCCATCCACTTCAGCCTTCCAAAGCATTGGGATTACAGGCGTGTGCCTCCAAGCCTGGCCACTTAATGTATTTTCAGCATTTTCTGATGTCTTTAATTATGTCAATTAAAATTTTGAATCACTGTATAATATCATTTATTTTCATTAGTCTACTCTTATTGGAAATTTTTACTGTTTTTTTTCAGTATTTGCAAATACAGTTGGAAAAAAACTTTGTAAATATTTGTTGTAATTTTAATTTCTGAATCAAGTAGTTGTTAAAACATCAAGCAACAAAGCAAAAATCCTACAGAAGAGAATAATTAAATGTTAATCTCTTTGATTTTGAACAACATTAGAATGGAAATTTGAGAAAGGAGAAAATTGCCAGATAAAGAGGTTGCCAGATTTAGCAAATAAAAATATAGGATGTCCATTTAAATTTGAATTTCAGATGGGACACACAATATTTGGGACATACTTATACTAAAAAATTATTCATTGCATATCTGAAACTTAAATTTAACTGAGCATGATGTATTTTATCTGGCAGCCCTACCAGTGGTTTGAGTATTCAGGAAGACTTCATGGTAGAGATAAAGAGAGGGAGTAAAGAAGATGTTTTACACAAAAGAAGTGGTTGAGATTGTCTCTAAAACAAGAGTGAACATAGTTTATGTAAAATAGTCTCCATAAAGATAAAGACTTTATGTCTCATTCATTGCTGTATCCCCAATCCCTTAAACAATCTATACACTGTAGTCACTCAGTAAAATTTGTTGAATGAGTAAATGTATTTGCACTATAAATAAAACCAGGCAATTTGGGACAAAGATTACCTGTGTAACTAAGTAGATAAGATAAAATTTCTGTGAACCTGGAAAACCTGGCAGAAGAATTTGGACTTCCTGCCTTCCCTTATTTATTTTATAAGGATTCATTAAGTGATATATGTCACATGCACAGGATACTTTGATGAACAAGAACAGACATGGCTTCTACCCTCATGGATTTTATAGTCTGTTTTAGAGGCAGACGTTAAATGTGTAATTCCATTATTTATTTAATATTCAATAAATTTCAATTCAAGTTATTATAAATTGTAACTTACAAGTTATAAAAGTGAATTTTTAACCATTCAATTTATAATTAGAAATATGAGTACTGTGAGGGAAAAGGGTATAATATTTATGTTCTAAAATCACACACAATGAGGGAGTATTCTTAATCTGATCAAGCTGAGTGTGAATGGTGTTGTGTCTTGGGTATAGATCCAGTCTTTTCTTTGAAATCTACATTCATTCACTAATTTTTCCTCTGAATTTGTAGAACACTCTTTGGACTATTACACTTACTCTTACACATCTTTTAAAGTCTTTTTATATGGGTGATTTAGTTTACTTACTAGATTGTAATTTATTTATTTATTTATTTAGATACAGGGTCTCACATCATCAAGGCTGGAGTACAGTGGCACAATCAGTGGCAGTCTCTACCTCCCGGGCTCAGGTGATCGTCCCATCTTAACCTTTTGAGTAGCTGGGACTACAGATGTGCATCACCACGCCTAGCTAATTTTTCATATCTTTTGCAGATACCGAGTTTTGCCATGTTGCCCAGGCTAGTCTTGAACTCCTGGGCTCAAGTGATCCGCCTGCCTCAGCCTCCCAAGATCCTGGGATTACTGCACCTGGCCTAGATTGTAAATTCTTTAGTGAGCCAGGGGGTATTTCAGTTTACTTTTATCCCCTATTGTTTCATGTATATAAAATATACACAGGTGTTAATTATTTACATGTTGATTCATTGAAATTATAATGGAGCTTTTAATAGCTATAGATATGCTATGTGCACTTAAAGATAATTTCTGGATTCTTTGAACCTCTTAAAGAAGTTTATGATGCCTAGTTGTTATTCGTGGCTCCTTAGACCTTGTGTGGCAATATTAGGTCAGGGATAGATGTCTAATGATTTGCAGTCAGGGAGCTTTGGTAACCATTGTCACATATTAGCATAAATAAGAACCCAAACACTTTTTTTTTTTATATGGAGTGTTGCTCTGTCACCCAGGCTGTAGCGCAGTGGCATGATCTTGGCTCACTGCAACTTCCACTTTCCAGGTTCAAGTGATTTTCCTGCATCAGCCTCCCAAGTAGCTGGGATCACAGTCACCCACCACCATGCCTGGCTAATTTTTGTATTTTTATTAGAGACAGGGTTTCACCATGTTGGCCAGGCTAGTCTTGAACTCCTGACTTCAGGCGATCCTCTTGCCTTGGCCTCCCAAAGTGTTGTGATTACAGACATAAGCCACTGTGCCCAGCTGAGAAACAATCACTTTGACTCTGCCTTCAATACATATTGAAAATCTAACTACTGGTTACTACCTCTACTTCTTCCCTTTTAGTTGATGTTGCCGTTATCACTTGCCCAGATTATTAGGGTAGCCTCATAATTGCTCTTCCTGCCTCTGGATTTGCCCCCTCCCCCACAGCAGTAATAGGAAATGTTAGAAGTTTTTAAGTAAGCATGGTAATATTACTAGATCTGTTATTTGACACAGCCAGTTATGTTGTGTTTGGTAGATTGGAATGGGGCATAGTAGATGTGGGTTGACATGGTAGGTAGTCAAGACAGCTCAACAATCAGTTCTTAAAGACACTTCATTTTCTTGGTAAAGAATATAGGCCTACCAGTACTTGTAATTTTAATTTTAATTCATTTATATCATTTACTTATTATTATTCAATTGAATCTTAGTTTATAATATGCTATACTCACATGCTATGCTCAAATATAGTGTAATTACTTTTTTTAATATTAACACACTTTTTTATTATATTAAAATCAGGCAACGGTCTGACAATAAAAAGACTGCTTATGGAATACTGTTATGTTAAACTTCACTTACAGGATGTTAAATCCTCAGAACTAAGATTTTCCCCCGGAAAAAGGTCAATGGAAATGTCAATTGCTTTTCAGACTTAGTTGCTGCTTCAAAAGGTGGTTTTACACAAATACTAAATTAAAAAAAAAAAAAAAAAAAAAAAAACTTTAGTATACAATGAATTGCTTTTATTTCGGTATGCATCCACATTTCAGCATTTAGTGGTCCTGAACAGAAACTGGAAAGACGCAGTAATTTGCCAGGAGGTCAAGCCTGCCAATTTCAGGGATCTCCTGTGCACACCGGGTTCTTTCTTAATCCCTGCTGAGGATCTTGAGAAGCAGCAGCACCAAAACCAAGGCATGCACCGGATTCAAGGTTCTTTTTGTTCCAGTTGTCAGATTCCAAACTAGACCCCAATGGATTGCAAGGATGGCCAAATGAAAGCCCTGTTTAAAACTTCTTCAATTTTTAAAAGCAAAAGCAATTACAGTAAAGTAAAACAATTCAGAGGGATCATGTGTGCTTACAAGTGTCTTCATGTGGTCTTTCTCCGAGTTCAACCACCAAGGACTCTGAGAGCTGGCAGGTCTGAGTAACCCTGGTGACTATTCTTTTCACCTTATCAAAACCTGAGCTAAAAACAATGTATCAGTTGATGACAGCAGAGGGTGGCAGGGCTGAGGACCCAATATTCATTTCCCAGGCTGGTGGAGAGTGAGAAAGTATGGTTCTGAAACTAAACAAGGGAGGTCAGAGACTCTTTTCAACCTTACCTCATGGCTTCTGGCCAAAGCAAGGAAGTGTCATGGAAGGTGTTGGGTGGTGATGGTGCAAAAAGGAACTTCAGGAGGAGGGAAGAAAAAGCAGCGCCCCTCGATAAAGGTCGGGGAGAGAAGATATGGGGAAAGCCCTGAATTCCTCACCAAAGGCCAATCTCAGAGGGGAGCGGAGGGGTTACAATCTATGCTTCAGCCAAGGGCAGGAGTGGAGGAGCGTGGGGACAGGATGATGGCTTCAAAGTGGCATCATTTAAGACTTGAAGAAACCAGGGGTGCAGGCAAAGCACCCCACACACCCAGCAGTAGTCCCACAGGCTGCGACCTGAAACCCTCACATCTACTCTAACAAGTCCTCCAGGCTAGAGGGCTGTTGTTGCAGGGTGAGTGGGAGGCAGGAGGGTAGGGGAGAAGGCAGAGACCCCAGGCCGTGTGATCAGCAGCAAGGTGATTGTGTGATGTGTCTTTTCACAGTTGAGTTAGATGTGCCCCACCAGTTGTGATGGGAATCAATTTAAATAGACTTTCTTGATCCCAGAAGTTCAACTACTTGGACAGTGGTTACACTTGACAGGATGATTTGTTATAGCACAACTTACATATTTCAAATGGACAAAAAGTATCATTTACAGTATCTTAAGATAAATTTCCTTTGAATGGGAGCTTCCTTTCCAGTACTTTGAGGTCTACAAGACGTATCTAGAAAATTTACTACTGTGGAAAATGAAGACTGCTTAAATCGAATGGTGAGGAAGGGAAGGGCCTGTGGTTTTCCTTTTTGATTAATTGCTGTAACACTCCTTCAGGCGGCTGAGGAAGTTTCATATTTTCTTTAGACATCATTAGGCACCGAAGCTCTTGCAGGACAACTTTGATGCTATATGAGTTCTGCCTTTTTGCTAGCACTGATATGGCTCTTGGGTCCACCACTCCATTAGAACTATTAACTCCATTCATATTAATTTTTGTTACAAATCTTACAAAGGGGGGTGCTTCTGGGTATTTAGATCCACATTCTATTTTAAGGCTGTATATTCGGTTTTCATAAATTGTTCTTGGAGGCCCAATTATCATCCCTGTCCATTTTGTAAGTGTCATGTCTTCGTCATCTTCTAGACCCCAGCTAACTGTGCGGTCTCCTACTCCTTTCTGGCCTTCTTTGAGTTCTTCCAACAGTCGGAAATTGCGAGGGACTTTTACTCCCGAGCCCGTGGTGGCTGCCATCTTGCGTCGCTGTCCCTTCGTTTAATTACTTTTTAGAGACAAGGTCTCTCTGTGTTGCAGGTTTCACCATGTTGTCCAGGCTGATCTTGAACTCTTGGGCTCAAGCAATGCACCTGCTTCAGCCCCCCAAGTAGTTGGATCTACAGGCATGGCATGCATCATCACACCCAGCTCTGGATATATATATATATATATATATATATATATATATATTTTTTTTTTTTTTTTTTGAGACGGAGTTTCACTCATGTTACCCAGGCTGGAGTGCAATGGCACGATCTCGGCTCACCACAACCTCCGCCTCCTGGGTTCAGGCAATTCTCCTGCCTCAGCCTCCTGAGTAGCTGGGATTACAGGCACGCGCCACCATGCCCAGCTAATTTTTTGTATTTTTTTTTTTTTTTTTAGTAGAGACGGGGTTTCACCATGTTGACCAGGATGGTCTCGATCTCTTGATCTCGTGATCCACCTGCCTCGGCCTCCCAAAGTGCTGGGATTACAGGCTTGAGCCACCGTGCCTGGCCTGGATTATTTTTAAGTAAAAATTTTTTTAGGTGAAGACAAGCTTGTATACGAGAGTAGTTATGACAGTGTGTTACTGACTCAAGGATGTACTAATATACAAAGGATAGAAAAACCCACACACATACAGTCACCTAATTTACAGCAAAGATACCACTGGAATATAAAGGAGAAAGGAATAGTGTTGGGGTCAGTTGATATTCATATGGGAAAAAATTAACCTCTGCCTTATACCACATACCAAAATTAATTCTACATGATTATACATAAACGTGAAAAAGAACAACAACACTTCTAAAAGAAATCGTAGGAAAATACCATGGTCTTGAGTAGGCAAAACTTTCTTATGAAGAAAAAATAAAGAAAGTATAGTCTGGTCCAAATGCAGTGATGTTTACAACTAATCGATCGCAACCAATTACAGATTTCTTTGGTTCCTTCTCCACTTCCACTGCTTTACTTGACTAGCATTAGGAAAAACAATTTTTAAGGAAAAATAAATTGGACTTGTCAAAATTAAGGACTTTTCATCAGAAGACATTGTGAAAGTGAAAAGGCAAAATATAAAGCAGGCTTGAGAATTGTGAGAAGTTTAGCATGGAGGACTAGTGGAAGGAAATATGTTTGTACATAATTTTTTCCCCCTAAAGCCCATACTAAGAATAGAGAACCCTACATTTAACTAAAGACAGCAAATATTTTGAGGCCATATTTGTTCTCATTTTATGCCATTTACTTAGTAAATGTACATACCTTAGAATGATAGATTCATGCATGTGGTATACAGTCCTCCCTTACTATCTTCAGGAGAGTGGTTTCAGGACCCCTCTCACACACACATGGGTTACCAGTACTCTAGTCCCCTGCATAAAATGGAGAAATATTTTTATATAACCTATGCAGACACTCCCATATACTTTAAATAATCTCTAGATTCTTTATAATACCTGATACAATGTAAATGCTATGTAAATAGCTGCTATGCCATGGTTTTTCATATTATTTTGTATTAGTATTATCTTTTATTGTTGGATTTTTTTTCATATTTTCAATTCACGGTTGAATGTGGATGCAGATACAGTGGCCAACTGTATACATATTTTGGGATCATTTTAGTGGTAGTAAAACTTGGTTTTCCCCAACTGTTTCTATTAACTCACAGCCAACTATGAAATATGCCACATTTATCCTGATTAAATAGTAAAATGTCTTAGCCCTTTCCACTGATTATATTGACAGAAAAGATTAAAAAGTGATAGATAAACCTAACCAAAAAAAAAAAAGAATGTTTTCATAAGCCACTGCTGTCGGCACTTATTTGAGATATTAGAACATTTTGTAGTTCTTTATTTTTAAATGACCTTAGATTTTTAAAAGGGTTTGTTAATTCAAAAGGTCTCCTATGATTAAGGCAGTTCAAATAGTAGACTGAGGGTAAAAGAGGGATTGACTGTAAATAGGCATGGAGGTATCTTTTGGGGGTGATGTAAATGTTCTAAAACTGGATTATGGTGGTGGTTTCACAAAATTTGCACAAAAGCATTGACTTAATACACCAGAAGCATGTTAATTTTGTAGTGCGTAAATGAATGCCTCAGTATAAGCTTTTTTTTTTTTTTTTTTTTTTTTTTCTAAAGGATACCATTAAGATAATGAATCGGCCAGCCACAGATTAGGAGAAAACATTTACAATTCATGTATCTGACAAAGGATTGTATCCAGAAATCAATGATAATACAAATTAATAGTAAGACAAATAGCATCATTTTAAAAAACTGGGCAAAAGACTTGGACACTTCACAGAGGGAAATAATCAAATGGCCAAATAAGCACACTAAAAGAGGCTGAACATTATTGATCATTAGGAAACACAAATTAACATCACAGTGAGATACTGACCCATTACTCATCCACTTGAATAGTTAAAAATCAAAAGGACTACCAGTTGTTGACAAGAATGCAAAACAACTGGAACTCTCAGCTGGTGAGACCAGGCAGTGGGACCACACATTTGAAAACATGTATGGTAGTTTTTGAGTTTTTTTTCCCCAGTAAAAATTAACCATACATCTACCCTATGATCCAGCAAGTCATTTACCCAAGAAGAACAAAAACATATATCCAGAAAAAGAGTACTGCAAGAAGATTCATAGCAGCAAACAAAGATATCCATTAACAAGATAATTTTTCAGCAGATCGTATATTCATTTAATAGTACACTACTGGGCAATAAAAATAAATGAACTACCCCTGCCCACAACTACATGCATAAACCTCAGGAACATTATGTTGAACAGTAAGAGTCAGAAACAAAACAGTATTTTTGTTCTACATTATACCATTCAAACAAACAAAAACAATCCATAACAGAAATCAGAAAGTACTTTCCTTTTTGTTAGGGGGTATAGGGATTGACTGGTAAGAAACCTCAGAAGACTTTCTGGGGTGATAGAAATGTTCTCTGTCTTGTTCTGGATAAACATTTAAGATCTGTGCATGACATTTTATGTGATCATACCTCAATAATAAGAATGCACCGGCCGGGCGCGGTGGCTCAAGCCTGTAATCCCAGCACTTTGGGAGGCCGAGGCGGGTGGATCACGAGGTCGAGAGATCAAGACCATCCTGGTCAACATGGTGAAACCCCGTCTCTACTAAAAATACAAAAAATTAGCTGGGCATGGTGGCACATGCCTGTAATCCCAGCTACTCAGGAGGCTGAGGCAGGAGAATTGCCTGAACCCAGGAGGCGGAGGTTGCAGTGAGCCGAAACTGCGCCATTGCACTCCAGCCTGGGTAACAAAAGCGAAACTCCGTCTCAAAAAAAAAAAAAAAAAAAGAAGAATGCAAAATTCTACAAAAGCCAATTTCAAGTTGACCCAACATCTCTACTAATAAATCTGTTTTTAAAAGAACAGTAAATCCTAAACCTCTATTTTAAGAAAAAATAAAGCATTTAATTGTATATAATGTTATTTAACATACTTTAATATATGACATACGGATTGTGAAAAGATTATTTAAACAAGTTGGCTAAAGAAATTTCATGAAGAGGGTGAATCTTTTGCCTTATTGCATATGCTTTTATGTTGAGTAAAACCAAAGTGATTTTCCATGGTAGCTTCTTACACTCTGTTCTTTTACACTTTCTTGTAGTAAAATGGAAACTAACTTTTTTTCATGAAAGGGTAATTATACACTAATGTGCTGCTTTTCTCTCCTGTTCTTTTTCTTTTATTATGAAATATTTCATGTATCAAAGAATATGTCTAACATATGTATATTACAAAGTATATCCTCTGCCTCCCTTCTCATTTGAAGATCCTAATGATCCTCTGCAGAGCTAATGCTTATTCTGACTTTTGTGTTTTCATTTCCTTTTATATATCCCATATATATGTAGCCCTAATAGGTGTATGCATATGTGTATTCTTTTTTTTTTTTTTTGAGGCAGAGTTTCACTCTTGTTATCCAGGCTGGAGTGCAATGGCACGATCTCGGCTCACCGCAACCTCCGCCTCCTGGGTTCAGGCAATTCTCCTGCCTCAGCCTCCTGAGTAGCTGGGATTACAGGCATGCGCCACCATGCCCAGCTAATTTTTTTGTATTTTTAGTAGAGACGGGGTTTCACCATGTTGACCAGGATGGTCTCGATCTCTCGACCTCGTGATCCACCCGCCTCAGCCTCCCAAAGTGCTGGGATTACAGGCTTGAGCCACCGCGCCCGGCCTATGTGTATTCTTAATACAATTTGTTGTTTAATTGTGCTTCTTTTTAACTTTACAGATATGGTACAATATGTAGTCTTCTGAACTTTTCTTTCATTAGTATATTTTTAAGATTCATCTATATTGTTGTATGTAGCTGAAGTTCATTAATTTACATTGCTACATAATTTTACATTACTGGTATAAATCACTATTTTTTCCCTGTTTTTTCTCCCTTACCCTCTTTTTCATCCTTTGATCCCACCTATAGCAGTAGTTAGTTAAATAAGCAAAATGATTAGTGGCTTCAACATGTTTGGAACTCTTCTAATAAAGAGTTGAAATTACGGCTTCGAAATATAGATACCACTAGCAATCCCTTCTATTTCTATAAGCATAGTAAGCTATATTATTTGCATTTTATAGTAGGATATGAATTAAATAGTTATAATGACAACTGCAGGGTGGGAATTTTTAACACACTAGAATAAAATGTATCTTCGAGACATTTAGGGTATCTGAAGATCAGCATATTGCGTATGGTGCAACCGAACCAATGAGTTTGAAGAAAATACGCCTATTGCTGAAACAGCACAAAGTATAAATTACTCTTTTGTACACAAATACAAATCTATAGTCTTTATAGATTACTTTCTACATGGATAGTTGTATGTATAATAATTGCAAATATATCCTGTTTATTTAATGGGTTATTTTTCTCTAAGATCCAATAAAATAATATATTTTCTAAATTAAAAAGTTATTCCATTCTCTTTGTG